GCAGGAATGAAACTCACCAACAGGCCATTAAACGTCCACAGGGAGCAGAGAACCCCATACACAATTTCTGAAAGTATTTTCAGGACATCTGATTTTAAATTGATGCCTGATCACAAACTGATGGAAAAAAAGTAACTTTATCTGCCTAATATACAGATTGTACCCTCTCCCTGTCACAATCCTCCAGATCTGCTCTCCCCTCCTGGTCACAGTCCTGCCCCTTCACAATCAACCCACCCCCTGCCCCTTCACAATCAAATGTTGTCTTTGTGGTTACTACAGCTATTGCAAACATGGCAGAGTTTATCTTAGGAAGGTATTTGATGAGTCTCTCCACCTCTCTTCTGGTGGGCCTTTTGGGACTCCGAGCTTTTTTTTAATGCCTGAACTCCTCAACTTATCATAGGTTGTTAGGGGGTCCTTTGTGGCTGTGGTGTGCGTGGGGGGAAAGTGGATGTTCTTGTGGACACTTTCAGCCATCACATGGCTACCTGTGATCACAAGGGATTGGACTTCATGACATAGGTGGTTGCTTCACTCTTATGTTCCCATGAGTTTCATCAGCCAGTGTCATAGACTCACCCAATCCCCACAGCACACCAGGTTTTCTGTAGAGGTCTCTGATATCCTCAGGGATAGCAGTCAATGGAGAACAAATTGAGAACTACAGCACAAAACTGCATCTACCCTGCAGCTGTTTTTTTAAGAGCATAAGCAAGGCTTATCTGGCAGAGCTGAGATAGTCCTACCCATGACATTCTCCTGAGGGCAGGTCACTGCTGTAGTGTAGGCAAGTGGTTTATCCTTGTCTTTATTGAAGGAGATTGAATAGCTTATTGCTCTTGGCAGGACACACTTACATGTGCAGAGATGCTGAACACCCTGGGCAAGCTACTGCTAACTCATAAAGCAGACCCAGTGCTTGTTGGTCATGCTGCCTGCATAATTAAAAACCTGATCCTTCCCCAAAACATGCAGGTGAGTACCACTTTTCTTTACAAAATTACACAAGGGAGGTGGGGCATCTTTACCCAGTAGAAGCTGGTTACACAAAAGAAAGTTTTTTTAAAAAATCATATGCAATGGATTAATGAGCTATCTCCCTCTGACATTCGTGACAACACTACCCCAGGTACAAGCTGGCAGCATCCCATGTACCACCCTTGAAGCTATTTCTTCCATCCTCATTTTCTCTATCATGCAACATTGCATATTAAGGAAAATAGGAAATGTCACACAAGACAGTGATACAGCCCCAGGCTTTTAGTAACTGTATCTTCTCTCTAGACATATATAAAATATAGCAGGGAAGCCTCAGGCATAGAGAGATTAAGTGACTTGCCTGAGTCACTCAGAATGGATGAGTAGGAAGTGAATCCTGAGTGCCCAAATCCCAGTCCAGGGCATTAACCAGGAGAAGAAGAGTAAGAGAAGGTCCCCACTTTCCAGGGTTGTATTTTAAAGACAGAGGATTGATTTGAATGTCAAAATGTATGATTTGTAGTCTGTGCATATGTTGTGTTATCTATAGGGGCTCATTTTATTTTGATAAAAATTCTGATGTACACTTTGAAAGAGCTTGTCATGAAGACCAATATGTTTCTCTTCTGCTGGCAATGTTTACATAACTCCTTTGACATTAATGGCAGTATGTCACAACTTCAGTGCTCATTCTGAGAAGTTGCCGTAAATCACACGAACATCTTTCTGCAAAAGTAAAAGGTGATTTTTCTTCCACCAGGTAATAAAATTCTCTTGTGACTCACTTTGAAAAGCAATGGAGTCTTGAATCAATCTGGCTCCTCTAGCACCATGGATAACCCACTAAACGATTTACAGAAAGATCCTAGTTTCAGAAACTAAATAGTGATAATCTTGCCCCCAACACAGCTACAGTGAACATCCCTCCTTTTTTCCGGATCCTGAAGATTTTGGTCATTTTGCTTGAGTGGGTGCCTATCTTGATTACAGTCTCCTAATTAGCTGATAACCAGTGATCCTGGTTTTCTCTGATAAAAATAAAATCCAACATTTTCTGATTTACACTCCCCCTCCCCAAATGCACATTTTTCTGTAATTAAAATGAAATGCCACTATATATAGTGCCTCTTAGGGACCACTTGGCAAGTAATGTAAGAAACACAGGCTTTGAATAGGACAGGTTAAACCCGCAGTCACTCTTACAGCATACAGGATTTACAGATCTTTAGCGATACACATTCTCCATGCTCTGTGACCAAAGATCATGCTCACCTGATCATGCTCATGACCAATCTGGCAATCGGGCAGATTGGTCCCTTCTACAGATAGACAGTGCTTGGTAAAGATCCTTACCCTAAATATGATCTCTTCCTCCTCTGACAAACCAGTCAGCTGTAGAATTTCAAGCAGGTGATCCTCTGGGAGATTTCAGCTTCCCTGGAGGTAAGCTGGGGAAACTTGATCCCTTCTGCATGTCTCTTTTCCATATCAAAACCATTATTTTAGGAGGGAACTGCCTTGGTTGGAAGACAATTGCAGTTAGTGCATCTCATGTTAGTTCTTCAAGAATAAACATTATGATAAAATGCCTTAGCCTGTTTTTGACATGTCTATGCTGCTATAGTTATATGCTCAAAATAAGAATGTAAGAACATAAGAATGACCATTTACTGGGTCAGACCATATGTCTCTCTTTCCCAGTAGCCGTTCCCCCACCCCACTGTTCCTCTCTCACTTGCAGCCTCTGGCATTTAAGGTATAGGAAGTTCTGATTCAGAGGCTGCATCCCTAAGTCTCATGCTCAATAGCTGCTGATGCTCCTTTCGTCAAAGAATTTGTCCAAGCCCTTTTTGAATCTGGTTAAACTGTCGACTTCCACATCTGGTGGCAATGAGTTCCACACTTTAATTACACACTGTGTGAAAAAGAGCTTCTTTTTCTTAGTTTCAAACTTACTATGCACTAGTTTCATTTTAGGCCCCCTAGTTCTTGTATTCATAGTTTCATAGTAGCTAGGGTCAGGAGGGACCTGAACAGATCATCTAGCCTGACCC